GTTTTCGCTGTCATTTTTCATAAATGAACACTTGTATCTGAGGTAGGAAACAGCATTATATGGTGTTTTTGGGGTGGTAATTATGCTAATCTCCTCTCGCGTGCACGAGCAGCTGGATAGAACAGGTGAATTTACGCAGCTCATTTACACACTTTTCCTGAAGATAGAAGAGTTTGTTGAATGTGACGTGACATGTTCGTACGAACCCTTTGTACGAACAAAAGTAAGAGAAATTTAGGAGAAGAATACRAACACGTTGTTACATGAGGCCCAATGTTTAGTTAACCAGCTGTAGATGTGTTCAAAACTTTTCCCTCACTCAGAAAACTACAGCTGATGATGTTTTTTAATCTGGTTTATTTTCTAATAATGTGATAAAGTATGTCTACAACCAATCAGATGCTACAGATCTCTCCTTTTTAATGTTTCTCTCTGTGGAGTGAAGAAAAACATTGTATTTATGAATTTAATATTTCTTTTATTTCCACTGGGCAGAACTGTTTCCACCAACAGTGGGTTTGGAAGAACAGGAAGTGATGTCATTGCCCAGAAACCAAACTGACCTGAGGCTGGAAGCTGAACCCAGAGGAGATGATGTTCAGACAGGTTTATTCTTACATTTCTAAGACAAAACACTTTGTAATTGTTCATCTGATGTTTGTGTAAATCTCTTCTGTCACTAAGTTCCTGCTTTACGAGCACTGAGCAGCCAGTTACTGATGACAGAATTTAACCCTTTAAACACGACGAGCATCAAGATCCAAACATGTTCTGTTGATGAAATGTAAATATCTTCTGTACAGTGATGAATACAACATAAAAACAAACGTCTTACAGAAATTCAGACTGTTTTAGAAGAAGAAATGTCTTTTAATTCAGTTACAGATGAATGTATTAGTTTCATCAGTAGGCTGAGTCATGAGCAACAGGTCAGAACTGGACTGATGGAGGTCAGGATCTGCTCCCCCAAACTCATCTCTGATTATTAACTTACAACATTCGGCTCTTTAAATGTTTTTATTTGTTTAATGTTGACCTCCTATTTAATAAAATGCCTGAAAACATGGGTTAATCAGACACGACAGATTTCTGAGCCTCCAACCAGCAGACACTGAAAATGTCTTCATCAGTTCTGTCAGGATGAATTTTCAGACATTTTAATATAACTGAAACTATAAACAGTGCTGGGCCACAAAACAAAACAACAAACTGTTTTAGGTTCAACACAGCCTCCAGCATCGTGGTTGTGACTGAGCCCACTTAGTGAATCGTAGCAATGACTTCACACTGGTTATACTTGCTGCAGCCTACTGGTGCCATGACAAACAAGGGTCCGTAACCCACCAAATGATACAACCACAACTACCTCCATATTGTTCCAGAGGACCCTAATCTCAGACAAAAAAAATTAATAATTTCTTTATTAGGAAATACTTAACTGATCACCATTTTCCTGGAAGACCAAATAAAAATATTTTGAATAAATTTGACAAACACAATCACTAAACTAAGATCTGTACTCAGCCTTTCCTATAGCTCCAAAGAAACACACTTAGATTTATGAATGATATTTATCCGTGTAGAGATTTATTTACTCAGGAATAAACTGAACATAGATGACAACACTTGTACATTATGTGAAAATAACAGAAACAACGGACCAGCTATTTTTCTTTTGTGCAACTGTACAAACCTTCTGGAGGGAATTGCAGACGTGGTTAATCATCAAATCTCCATCACCTGCAGTTTCTTTGGACATGACATCACTTCTGGACTATTTATGAAAATCAAAGAAGAGGAATTCTGTGTTAATGTTATTTTCTGTCTAAACAAGTTCTTTATTGACAGGAACAAAATATAGAAATGTCCTTTCATTCATTTTCTCACTTCATGGATGGATGGATGATTGGATGGATGGATTATTGGATGGATGATTGGATGGATGGATGGATGATTGGATGGATGGATGATGGATGGATGAATGGACTATTGGATGGATGGATGGATGATTGGATGGATGGATGATGGATGGATGATGGATGGATGGATGGATTATTGGATGGACGGATGATTGGATGGATGGATGATTGGATGGATGGATGGATGATTGGATGGATGGATGGATGATTGGATGGATGGATGATGGATGGATGGATGGATAGATG